CCAGTCCCAGCGCCTGGTCTGCTATGTCACGTTGCTGCCCAGGAGAAGGGGACATGGATGAGCATCTAGCAAAGGAAACTGGGAAGGAGCTACCCAGAGAGTAGGAGGACAGCAAGCAAAGAACAGTGTCACAAAAACCCAGAGAGGAGAGACTATTGAAAAAGGAAGGGGTGAGCAACAGTGTCAAAACTGCAACAAGGTTAAGAAGGATTAGGCCTAAGAAGAATGCTTAACACTTAAGAGGTCAGAGGTCATTGCTGAGGTCCCACATCACAACTATACAACTGGCAAAGATGACAAAAGAGGACAGTGATAAATGCTGGAGGGGATGTGGGAAAACAGGCACATTAGTACACTGTTGGTTGAGCCGTGAAACCGGTCTGCCATTCTTGAAATCAGTTTGGAACAATGTCCAGAAAGTTGCCAAACTCTGCATACCCTTTGATCCAGCTATGCTAGACCTACACTCCAAAGAAATCAAATATATTTATAGAAGCTCTTTTCATAGTAGTTCCGAAGTGGAAACTAAGGGGTTGTCTTCCTATTGGGGAATGCTTCAACAAATTGTGGTATGTGAACAGAACAGAATGTTATTGTGCCATAACAAATGATGAAACGGACAATTTATGAACTGATGCAGAACAAAATGATCAGAAACCAGAAAACAATCTATGTAATTATAGAGAAAAATGATTTTAGACTTTAAAACTCTGATTGACACAATGATCAACCCAAGTCCAAAAAAAAAAAATGAAGATGAAACATACCACTCACCTCCTGACAGAAGTGATGAACTTAAATTATAGAAAGAGATAACATTTTTGGAGAGTGGTTAATAGGAGAATTTGTTTTACCAAACTATTTAGTATATATTGAAGGATTTGGTTTTTTTTTTTTTTTTGTTTTGAATTTGTTCAACTGGGGAAGGTGGTTAATGAGAGAGAAAGATACATTAAAAATGTTAGTTACTTGAAAAATAAAAATAAAAAAAATTTAAACAATAGAAAAAACAGTTTTAGATCTAAAGCAAGAATGCAATGGGATGAAGAGTTAGAGGAGAAAGTAGAGACAACATGTATAGACAGCTTTTCTTTGAAAGGGAGGAGAGATAAAGTACCTGTCTTCACTGAACAATCAGCAGTTTAATTGCTTAATAGATTCCAGGAGCTATGCTCAGAGCTGAAAATACAAAGCCACTGCCTAAGGAAGTTTACATGCTGAGGGGGAAATGACACCCACACCTACGGTGTGCAGATAATGCATATAAAAGGAATACCATGGAATTCTGGGAGGGAGTGCACTAACAGCTGGAAGGGCCAGAAAAGGCTTCATGTTTGTGGTGGCACAAGCTGAGTCTTGAAAAAAACAAAACAAAACAAGATTTTGAAGAGGTGGTGATTAAAAAGAGAGAGAGAGAGAGAGAGAGAAAGGCATTTTAGACACAGGACAGTTGGTGCAAAGGCATGGAGATAGGAAATGGTGTCATGTGTTGAAAAGTAAAGTAGGACAGTATGACTAGAGCTCAGTGCTAGGAAGGAAATAATGTATAAGAAGACAGGAAAGGTAAGAAAGGGTCAGGATATAATGAGATTTTTTTTTTCTAAATGTCAAAGAGTAGAGTTTATATTTGATTCTGGAAGCAATATGGAGCCACCAGAGTTTATTAAACAGTGGCAGGATACTCAGATTTGCATTTTGGGGGGTTTTCCCATATTTTTTATAATATTTTATTTCCCCCTCAATTACATATTAAAACAATTTTTAACTTTTTAAAAAAAGCTTTGAGTTCCAAATTCTATCCCTCCCTACCCTCCCTTCTCCCTGAGACTGCAAGCAATTCAATATAGTTAATGCATATGCAATCATGTAAAACATTTCCATAATAGTCATTTTGTAGAAGACTCTAATAACAAAAAATAAAGGAAGAAAGAAAACAGAGATGATCACATGCTTCAGTCAGCATTCAGATAGTTTCAGTTCTTTCTCTGGAGGTGGATAGAATGCTTCATTGTGATTTGGGATTGTCATTGCATTTTGGGAAAATCACTTTGTGACTATATGGAAGATAGATTAGAGTGGGGAGAAACGTAAGTCAGGGAAAGGAGCTAGGAGGCTATTGCAATAATCTAAGTGAAAAGAAATGCAAACTAGGATGGTGGCTATGTGGAGAGGAGAGGAGAGGACTCATGAAAGAAGTGTAGAAAGAGAAATGACAAGATTTGGCAAATGGTTGGATATGTAGGGTGAGTGAGAGTGAGGAGCTGAGGATTGCACCACAGGTGCAAACTAGGGGCCTGGGAGAATGGTGGTACCCTTGATAGTAATAGGAAAATTCAGAAGCATAGTAGATTTGGGGTGTGTGGAGTGGGATATGAGTTCTGCTTTGGACGTGTTGAGTTCAAGACATCTACGGAACATCTAGTTCGAAAAATCTCTTATGTAAGAGGAGATCTATTCTGATGAGACAAAGTAGGATTGGATATGGTGAAATTGAAGATTAGAGGAAGATGGTGATCATAGTGGATCAGTTATCTGAGAAAGATTGTATGGGATGGAATAAAAAGAATAAGTAGTGAGGCTGGGATTCACGTGGAGAAGGGTCACCTCTTTATCAGAGACTAGAGCAAAGGGAGAAAATGAGAAACAATGTCAAGGGGGTTCTATATGCAGAACAAGGGAGTAGAGAGAGTTCATGAACAGCCTCTTTCTCAGCAAAATATGAAGAGAGGTTCTTTGCTGAGAGAAAGGGCGAAGAAAAAATGTGTGGGAAGTTTGAGCAAAGAAACAAAGGTTTGGAACAATCACAGTGAGGATTGCATCTCAGCTCTAAGGCCTTACCAAATAGAACGGAGAGCATATATTTGTGATGGCCTTCTGGCACCATTCAGCAGCATGCATGTAGGAGCCGAGAAGGCAGATAGATGGTGAGGGTTGTGTAGTGTTGCGGTTTTGTAAGGGAAACAACATTCTAGAGTGGAAAGAGAATTCAAGGGACTCAGGTTCAATTTCTGACTCAGATTGTGTGTGACCTTGGTCAAGTCACTTCAGGCTCTGTTTTCTCATCTAGAGAATGAGGGGATGAGACTAAATGACTTAAGATTCCTTCCAGTTCTAAACCCCTAACTCTATGAAAACACAATGGCGATCAAACTAAGGAGGTAAGGGATATAAATGAATCATTATGTTTTAAGTCCCTTAAGGGCATCAGCTATGTCTTTTTTTAGGTTAGTGTCCCCAGCACCTGGCCATGCAAGTTAATAGTGGGCATTTAATAAATAAATAAATAAAATTAAATTGATTTAAGTTGAACTCTCCCTTCCAAGTATTGGATGAGATCTTTTTCGCTTATGAAACTTGGTGAATTACAGCCTGATCCAATAAAATATGCATATCACATCTCTTGAAAGTTAAAGAGAGCTGATAAGAATTTTATAGAAAAATTCTCTGCTAATATGCATATTGTTTAAGTATATTAGAACAACATAAATACACAAATGTGAAAATACTGTGCTTATCAGTTGTCACAGATTAGCTCCAAAACTCAGATTTGAAGGCTCCCTTATGATTGCATGGGAAAACCTATACATCTCACTGAGAGATTTTAAATATGGCACTTTGCAATTCCCAGAGGTACCTCTTGTTAGTAGCTCTGAGGAGAGTGTGGGATAGAGTTGTCAAGTAGGAGAATTTTATGGGCAGATGTACCAATGAGAGGAAGATGCTATTTAGTGGGAAAAAGCAAGGCATAAAATGAAATGGGAAAAATACCTATGAGTACTTCTTAATCTAGAAATTATTTTTAAAATTGCTTTTATATTTAATTTTTATCTGTTGATTTTTTTTGTTGAAATTTAGTTAGGAAACCAGAGATCATAAAAACTATCTGGAAATAAAAGTGAAAAATGACTTAATCTCTCAAAACTATGTGTAATTAAAAAAACTTTCATAGTAAAGTGAAAATTACACGATTTCCGTACAAACATTTAAGTTGATTGACTTCATTTATTCATTCAACAAGAAATTATTAAGTGCCTATTATATACAAGTCACTTGGCCCAAGTCCTAGAGTTATAAAGGCAAAACTAAAGCAGTCTCTGCCCTCAAGGACCTTGGATTCTACCAGGGAAGTGGTACATGCAGATCTTAGAAGATTTTGACTATTGATTCTGATTCTTCAACAATACTGTTTTGTAACCCTTGGAGAGAAATACGAAAAGGGGGGGATATTTCGAGGGATGGTGAAAGGATTTTTCAGAGTCATTTTTTTTTTTGAGAACCAAAAGGGGAAAATCAGAGTGCTTAAAGTAATGCTAATAAATCCTTTCATCTGCTATTCATATGAGCCCTCATTCTTTTACTAAAACTAGCTTAATGCTAATAAAAGGCAAAGTTGATTTCTAACCTCAATTCCTCCTTCTAGTAGGAATTTGAAATCAACCTGTCTTCTTACTTATCAGTGAAAAGCAAATGAAATTTCATTTTGGTGATTTTAAATTGGATTTTTATTATATTTTCATGGTTGATCAGTATATTACTAGACTTGACTAATATCTTGCAAAATATATTATGTATAGAATCCAGTAAGTTCCAGACAATCTTTTTGGTAGATAAGATAATGATATCAAATCCAGTTCTTCTTTTGAGGCAAAACTTGCACAGATGGAAAAGGGTGCCCATTCCCAGTGCCATGATGGCATTAGATCTTCTCTATTTCCCTGTGGTGGGTGCGTTCTATGTTGCACTTACAAAAAAACCACTATTTCGTAGTGATAGTCAATGTTTGTTTCCCCATCCAGCAGCTACTTGCCCATGGTGGTGAATTTTTTTTTTTAATGTAGTTGGCCAGAAACTCTTACCTTATCTTTGCAGTTATCTCCTTTGGGTGTGCCTTCACCACTCACACTGAACTGTATGTACTGTGTATTGTAGAGGTGTGCAGTTAAAAATACGTTTACGCTTGGAAATATTTTAAAAATATTTTAAAATGTTTTCCTTTGCAGAATCAGACACAAGTTTGGCAGAAGGAAGTGTCAGCTGCTTAGATGAAAGTCTTGGACATAACAGCAACATGGGCAGTGTTTCAGGCACCATGGGAAGTGATTCAGGTACCGCATAACTGTTGTGTAAACCTTAAAAAGTGTGAAATAAGACAACATATAGTAAGAAGAGTGGGGGCTGCTGCTTATACCCTACTTAGTGTATTTATGGAAGTGAAACAATTCTTTTTCACTGTGAGGTCGTTTTGGAACTTTGCCATATACCTTCTTTTGAAGTGTAACCTACAAAAGTCTTTCAGAACTAAATAATCTAATTTAGATTCAGAACCTGTCTTTTTGGTCTGGCACATTCTAAATTCCATAGAGTCATGGCTATTTTATTTATGAAATCTGTTATAATTTAATTTAATGCTTTTGGATGCTGTATTCATTTTTGTACATGTGCCCAAATGCCCAGGGGCATATTTTTAATCCAAGAATTAATAAAGAATTGGCTAATGAGAGTTAAAATGTATGTGGTTTTGTAGATAATAATATAATAAAAATCCATATTCAAAAAGGATGTATAGAAAGAAAAAAGAAGTTCATTTCTTTATAAATATTGCTGGAAAAGAAACAAGAATTACAAATGATTTGGTCAGTTGGTGTAGGGGAAAAACTTTTAAAGGCTTGTGTGAAGACCACTGGTAAAATTTATCCACTGTTCCTATTTTGGAGTTAGGAAAGTGGCCACATTAGAGATGAAATATTCCAGTCCTTTTCGATTCTATAGCCTAGTGATAGAGAAACAGAATAAAAAAATCTGTGTATATTTGGGAGTTCCTTGCCAAGCATTCAAAAGAATCCCATAAATACAAAACTGGAGGGATTTTTAGAGAAATCACAGAAATATTGGATTGAAGAGGCAACATTCAGAATCATCCCAGAAAGATAATTGTACATCGTTCTTAAAGATATCAGGAGGAGATTCATACTCTCTTTTGGTCATGTTTCATTCCTCATAGTACTGCCTCTAAAATCACAATAGGAGAAATTGTTATTTTGAATATCAAACTATGTATAATAATTTAAAATCATCTTTATTTTCAATTAAAAAGAATTTAGTTCAGTATTTTTTATTTAATATTTACTATGTACCTTTCCCTGTGGAAGGAGGTATGGTGGTGAAATAAACTTGGAGTTGAGAAGAAAGCAAATCCTGGCTTTGGCACATACCTATATGACTTGGGCAAGTAGCACCGTCAATTTTGTTATCTATAAAATGGGATGACATCAGGGGTAGTGTGGCTTCAATCATTTAAAGTATGACTTAAATATAAGTTATTATTAAGCAATAATGCTCACATTATTAGATAAAAGAGTACTATTGTAGAAGGAGATCTGGCCCTAGAATCAAGAAAAGCTGGGTTGGAATCTCACCTCTGACACATACTGGCTCTGATCCTGGGCAAGTTGCCTAGGGTCTTAGTGCTCTGGTCAACTCTCTGACACCGTAAGTTGAAGAGAAGGTGCCAACCTACATTGGTAAATGGAATTTCCACACCTGAGAGTTCTCTATACCAAAGAAATTGCATAGAAATTAGGTATTTAATCACATATTTTGAGTACCTACCATCAGAAATTGAGGTTGGTACTTCCCAGATTACCCTGCTAATAAATGTCAAAGTGCTAAAAGAGAGAGAAAGAAAAAAAGATTGTTTCAGGAAGTTGGGAAGATTGCTTCTATTGGAAAGGATTTCAAGGAAAATAGTATCATCAAGTGAAATAGTGATATGGGGAGTAGATCTCAGGAAGCTTCCTGGAGGACTAAATAAGGAAAGAAAGGACATAATACAGGGTATTCCAAAAGTCTGTGCAGATTTCAACTATTTAAGCTATGTAAACAGCACTATGATTTTTGGGACCCCCTGTATATTAGAGTATGAGGATATCTAGGTCAGTTAAGTTGTTAACAAGGGTAGAGAAAGTAGGTCATTGGCAGGTTGAATGGGTACATTTACTAGGGATAACAGTGGAAACAATTTGTTTTAGAAGGAGTAATGTAGAACTAACTAGCTCAGGATTTCATGGACCTCTATAAACTTTTCTCACTAGGTAGTAGGCCTGGCATGATGGTTTAATGAAGAAAATAATTTAAGATCTTACCAAATGCTATTCATGTTAAATAACAAGCCTAATTTACAGCTAGATTTCACAGTGAAGTATAGTAAGTACCTTCATGGACTGTGATTCTCATTAGACTTTTGATTCTTAGCCTTATTATTATTTATCTAAGTAAGGATTCTTCAACAACATTCATTCATTCATTCAAGAAATATTTACTATGCATTTATAGTATTCAAGGTAGTCTCCTAGATGACTTAGAGATATTAAGAAGTGTTTGATGGATTTTTTTTTGTTCTGAAATGCAAGATTTGTTAAATCCAATCAGAAACATAAAATGCAAATTAGTCAGCTAACAATCATTTATTAAATAACTACTATATGCAGGCACTATGCTAAGTACTGGCGATACAAAGAAAGGCAAAAACAGTCCCTGCTCTAAAGAAGTTCACAGTCAAATTGTGGGGATGGGGAAAGAATAACCTGCAAATTCTTAACATTTGCTATTTTTCCCTTTACTTCAGACATAAATTGGGGTTTAATTTTTAGCCATGACAATAAAGCTACATTTTTGTCTTTATTTAGATAATGACGTCATAGATTTAAAATGAGAAGGAACTTTAGAAATAATTAATCACATTCCCAGCCTACCTTATTTTTCAAGCAAGTTTCTTTGGTGACGTACTTTATTTGCTTTGGTTCATCTTTAGAGTTCCTATTTGTTATATGTTGCACCCTGCTCGTACATATCATATGCCCCTCCGTTGACTATTAGGTGACACTAGTTTTTAATTAATTCCTAAGAGACTCTAGTGTTCCATGACCCATAGCCAAACAACAACCCTGGTAAAATATTGCTTTTAAAAAGATGGGTCTTTATTTTGGGGAGAAGTTTGAGGTTATGAAAAGAACTTTGCAGTTTACTGAAAGCATACTATCCCATTCTCCTCTTACTTAATTCTGGACTTAACTATTATTCATCCACTTCACTATTTGTCCAAAATATTTGCACTTACGGATAACCTCTGTAGTCCATCTAACTGCATGTCATCATCTGGGCAATAGATATTCGTCATCCACTTGACTTTTTCTGCGCAAAGAATCAGGCTAAAACTCTTCAGTTATTATGAGTCTTTACAGTTTACCAGGGCTTGATGCAAAAAGCAGTATAATCTGAAAACAGGAGTATTTGGGGGAACTCATTGTCCAGAAGAAATCTCTCTTCAACTTGGACTCTGGACTGCATCTCCTTCATGACAGGGGCAAACACATTTGGCAGGCATAAATCTCTTTGTTTTATCATAGCTTGATATTTTACAATCAAAGAGTCATCAAACAAGGTAATCTCTGTTATACCTCTCAGGAAATCTTGAATAATTTTAATGTAACAATGGAAAACGCTTTGTTAGAAGATAGCCTTTAAGACAGGGTTTTTCTGTATGGAATAAAATGCCTTTTTAATGATAAAAATGGCATACTGAGATCTTGTATCTTAGGCATCATCCAGTCAATCGTATAATGATAAATATATGGCATATAATGGAATATTGTATGCGATATATCTGTCCCCTCCTAATACCCACATTGAGGAGGCCCTTGATATATTTCCAGAAAAGTTATATATAGATTAGAAAATAGTTTGTTATAAAAAAGTAGACATTTAGTACAATAATAATTGTTCTCTTGGTTGCCTTTTTTGGTACTAATATGATCTAAGATTTTTGTTTATGCTTTTTAGCATCTTCCCCTCTTTCAGATACCTAGGGAAGCAATCCCTCAATATCATCACAATTGTATTGCCTCAAGTAGGCTTCTCTTCTAAGAATACTGGTCTAATCCAACTGTTTTTCACATGCTTGTGGGGGTTTCTCTACCATTTCTTTCATTTGTATCATTTCTACCTCCTCTTCAAGCACATCAGGGACCATGATGTTAGACACTAGATTTGTTGGCTGACTTGTTCTTGATGGTTAAAAAGAAGGTTTGTTATAAAAATCTTCACAGATCTTTTCCATTTTTCTTCTGTTGTTGTCATTACATTTTCATCCTTAAATTTCCTTGGATAACTTTTTTTAGTTGGATCTGTTTCCAAGTTTTCTTCAAATTGGTTTTACCCTTTGTTGTTTTTCTCCATTTTATTAGGTAATAATGCTCATAATCTGTCATCTTTCTTTGTGAGATTTTATGAACAAATTTATATTATAAACCCATATACCCTATGGCAGCCATATTTTCTGCTTGAGAAGTGAAATGTTTGATGATTATAAAGATACTTTTTAGGCCTTTTTGGTTTTGTTTTGGTTTTTTTTTTTTTTTGGCAACTGTATTCAGATACCATATAATTGTCTGTGTCTATATCCTTCTCTCCATATCCCATCCCATTTGAATAGTTCTGCACTGATTTGTTTCAGTTATACACCATATCTTTTTTCTGATTTTTATTCTTCTAATTTGTTCTAATTTTGATATTTCTTTTAACAATTTGGTGTTTGGTACACACAGTTGATTCAGTAATGGTTCCATATCAATTATCTTCAGTTTATTAAAATATAATCATTTTTTCAATGTTAATTGATTCTTTCTATGTCTAGTGCCTACTGATTCTCTCTTTGAAGAAGATACGCAGGCATATGGCTTCTCCAAGTATTAGACTTCTTTAATTCCTTGTTTTTTTCCTGTATTTTCCAATATATTTTACATCATCCTTGTTTGTTCTCATCTTTGTATTGAAGTTGTTGAGCACCGGATTATATATTGATATAATTTAAAGCATCTTATTAAACTTTTTCTTACAATCTTATTACTTCTTCATCTTTCAAAGCAAATGTTGGTGAATTAAAAAAAGCTTTTCATAAGCAGGCAAGCTAGATGACACAGAGGATAGAGTACTATTCTTAGGGTCGAGAAGACCTGAGTTTAAATTTTACTTACGAGCAAGTCAGTTAACTTCTCTAGACCTCAGTTTCTTCATTTGTAATATAGGATAATAATAGCACCTATTGTGTGGGTTGTTGTAAGGATCAAATGAGATATTTGTAAAGTTCTTTATAAACCTTGAAGCATACATAAATTTAGCTATTATTGTTGTTATTATATGCTCATCAATATGAGATGACTACAAGTTATGTGAAATATTTCTTGTTGTATTTGAGCACAGAGTAAAGTCAGCTATGTCAATTCTTTTATTTGCCTGTCCAAGAAGAAAGTATAAGCCATTTTTCCTTTTGGCTGCCACTTTTTTTCTTCTGGTTTAATTTATGGCAAGAATATAAAGATAACGCAATTTAGTTCCTTCAGTCATATGCTGGCACACCCTGAGAGAGAATTCTCATTGTCCCTTCATCTTCGCCAAAAGTGCCGGCCCTCTTGACCCATTCTCTATGCATGCCTAGCTAGGAGCAAGCATATCACATTTAGAATACCAACATAGTGGAAAAAAATTTAGATAGTATCGAAATAATGTTATTCTAAGCCACCTATCCTATCCCCCTCTCCTGACATTGGCACCATCACTACAAGAAGCAAAAGGTTAGCCACATAGCACTGAGGTTTATTTTTGTTTCATAGGTTTCATAGGCCAAAAAATTTCATCACCAAATGGCAGACTTACTGGTGATGGGCCTCTTGATACTTAGCTAGAATGGGTCTTGAAAAGTGGACTCAATCTGTTGCTGGGACTATACTCAAAGTCTTTCTAACATTCTTTGAGGAACCTTTGAGAACCCCAGTTCACACCCTAGATGAGGCATCAGAGTAGGACTTAGTGAGTACCTATTCATATCTATGTGTTTTATACCCCAAAACTGTATAACCAGTTGTTCTTTTGTAAAGGTAAGTTAAAGATTCCTAGTCACACATAATAATTTTTTCTGACTCATTCATATTGAGTTAAAATGATTCTCACAAAATGTTAATATTTTTAGTATTAAATATTTGTTTAATGTGTGGTTATTATTCCCCATAGAATTGTAGATAATGTGTTTCAGCCTGTCCAGCTGGAATGGTGTACTTTTCCATCATTACTTATTTTAGGTGGAGTTATGCTTTTTGGATTTCTAACACATGCAGTGACAGACCTTTTTTCTTCAAGAATAACTCAGCTGTCAAAATCAACTTGAGGCTGAAATTTGCCACATGGTGTGGTTCCAGTCGCATATTATTATTTAAAGGATATTTTATTTTAATTTGGACATTTACAAACTATAGAATTCTTAAAAGTAAGATGATTTTTATGTTTTTGGACTCAATATTTATTGTAGGGAGAGGGTATTTTCAAAATCTTTGCCCATGTAAAATGTCATTTTCATTAATTGATTTCACTTTCCTGAAGGGAATCAAATGAATTTTTTAAAAAACATCCACAATAAAACAAAATTCAAACAGTGATTTTTTTTTTTAAATGGAAACTGGTTAGTAGCTTGGTTAAATGAAAATCAGCTCAGTTCTCTACTTTTAACCACAGAAGGATGCAAACTTTTCCACTGTTGATTATATAGAGAAATTCTTTCTTCCTCACCTAAGGAAATATGATATGCTAAGAATCAAGCTGACCAGTTAGCAATTACTAAGTAAGCAGGGCTTTTCATTTGGGTTTTCTATAAACATTGAATACACCTCTCATGCCTGCCTCCTCTATTTGCAGTTATCCATCAAGTTTCATAGTCTTCAAAGGGACTATAATAAATGGAAGAGTTATATAAAAATCATGAATGACACTTAAACCTGACTACTTGAGCAGTAAAAAAATCCACCTTGATTGGTTTATAGAATTTATAATAAACAATAGGATCATATGATGTTAAAATTAGAAAAGAACCTGAGAAACTGAACAGTTGGGCAAGTCGCATAACTTTCTTTGAAACTGAATTTCATCTATAAAATATGTGGGGTTGAACTCAATGCTCTCCAAGTTTTATTCCTCCAATCATATTCTATATCAAAATGATCTATGCTCCCTTCTGGGAAAGAAGACTTATAAAGTCACTGTGTCTTTCTTTGAATCTTAATATCCACAGATAGGGTAGCATGAGTTGGGTAGGAAGAGTGGAAGACAACAGGAGGAACAATTTTATAAATAAATTTTAAAATACATGTAACTATTTTGATGGAAGCAGCATTTTTTTAATCTGTGCAAAAATGTATGCAGATTGAAATAAAACAAAAGAGAACTGATCTTGTTGATACCTTTTAACAAACTGTCTAGCTCAAACAGCAAATTAGCAAAAGTAAATACACTGATCTTGAAGTTAAACACTGCCTAAAATATATCTTCTCTTACAAATGTACTAGTTCTTATGCAAAAAGTATTTTTAAAAAGTGATGAATGTAGTTAAAATAAGTGAAATGTTAGTATTTTGGTGATCTATAAAGAGTCTTTTTTAAAGAAGTAATGGTGTTCTTGGGTAAGAGTTCACCTTAATGTAAATAATTTAAATGAATTATTAATAATTGTTAACTAACTGCAAAATAAGCATAAAAAGAACTCAAAATATAGCATTTTAAAGTCTGGTGGGCTAGAATGAGAATTTGATGATACTGAAATTAAATGAATCAGACAGATGATCCAATGTTAGTTTAAATGTAATGCATCTGTTTGTATTCATTCATACAGAAGGCAAACTTCCTGCAGGGTTAGTAGATGACTATTACTAAGCACTGTTTGGTGTGAATTTTCCTACCGTTCAAATAGTACTATCAAAATAAGTTAAAATACATTTTGAAATGGAACCATCAGCAACTTTTTTTTTTTTGGAGGCTAATGGATTCTCTTTGGTTTTATTGGAATCATTGGTAGTGGAAAGAGAGAGCTTATTGAATATGTAATGTAATAGTGATAAGTCCTACAATTTCATTTTTCTCTAGAGATTTCATAAAACTTTGGATGGATTTTTGTTTAACTTGGGACAGTATTAACTTCATCTCAATGAGGCTATTTTTTTCTTTGAGAATTAGTACATACATAAATAGATTCAATATTAACAATTGTTAAACTCAGATGGTCTTTAAAACTTTCTAGAGGGAATGATAATGAAATAATTTTTTGACCCAAAGCTCCTTTTTTTTCCATCTCGTAAATGCAAACTGAGAGCAGAAACTCCATCTGTGCGACAGAGCAAGAAAAGGTTTGAATTAGACTGTACACAAAAAGGAATATGGGAGACAAGGCCCATATCTCATTCAATGTTTACTAGTATACCTCATTGACCCTTCTCTTTTTCTCTCCCTCTCTACACCTCCCCAATTTAATTCAGACCAAGATGATGAGAAGAAAAGAGCGTCTCCTGAGCCAGAACTGGTCCTCAGGTCTTACCAAATGGAAGTGGCCAAACCAGCTTTAGAAGGGAAGAATATTATTATATGCCTCCCTACCGGAAGCGGGAAAACAAGAGTAGCTGTTTACATTGCCAAGGACCACTTAGATAAGAAGAAAAAAGCATCAGAGCCTGGAAAAGTTATGGTGCTTGTGAATAAGGTACATAAGTCACATCTAAATATTGGTTTTTCTCTTTTGCTTTGCTATTCTAACACATTTAAGCCTTACAACAGTTGTAACAATAAATCACACAAGAATAGTTTAATTAAAGAGGTACTGTCATTTCCCCCCTCATACCTGAAGTTATAAGTAACAGCTAACTTGTCATCCCCCCAAAATTTCTCTTAATGCCCAAAACTCACATTTTAATGGTTATGACTTATGAATGTTTTCCTTGAGACTACTTAAGGTTAATTTGTGCTGGTAGAAGTTACAATAACATATTAACATTGATGATCCCAATGGAAGAAACAGAAATCTGAAATTTTTTTGGATGGAGGATTAACCCTATGTGCCCTTGAGCGCAATGTGTGTGGAAAAGTAGAAAAATATTATATTGCATATGCAAAGGTTTGGGAATAGAGCATCCTGGCTTACTGAAGGTTCTGATTAACTATAGGTTATATGTGACATGCATGGTTTATCAATTGAGTAATTTTATAATTCAGAAAGCAAAACAGTATATCTTTTATAATATATTAGAGAAAAACATACTTATTTTAACTTTTTTTGCTTGTCTATCAGGTAAATTGGAATTTATTGCATATAGCCTCAAGTGGCTGGACTAAGTTAGAGATACCAAACCTGCAAAACTCCTGAGTGTGGCCCAAACCAGATTAAAATATAATTGGGAAGTGTTTAGCAAAATAAATAAAATTACTTGACAACATAGAGAAAATGTAAATTTATTATTTTCTAAGTCAATATGCAGCCCACAGGGATCTGTTTCTATTTGAGTGTGATATCGTACGACTAGGTAATGGCTAAGGTCCCTCCCAATTCTTAGATTCAATAATAATTCAAAGATTCTCAGTATTCATCATTTTCCATAATACAAACTGGAGATAGTAATTTAATATTGACATTTAATATTTCATTGACTCTGTGATCTCATGGATGTCCACAATGTGGTTTACAACCCATCCAAATCTCATACTCTGTAGTTCTCGTCAGTGCCTTTCTTTCTTCCTTTCATTAAAGGAGTTTTCCAGTGTCCTTCCTCCAGGTCTTTTAGGATTATGTAGTTACCAGGGCAGCACTTCAATCATCCATATGTTATGCCTTTTTCTCATTAAGGGACTGATTCACCTTGTTTTTTTAATCACTTATACCTTGGGTATCTTTTATTCTCCTATGCCTCATTGGTAATTTGTTATAGTAACTTAATGCCACCTGTGTGTATCTCCAGTGCCTTACAATTTTAATTCTTTGGAAATTGTGATCAACAACCATATGATATCACCATATTGTATTCTCAGTAGAATCTTGATGTTAAAAATATGGTACTTTCTGTCAGGGAGACACTTGAGGTCATTAAAAATACTGTTCCATTTCCCAAATGCACAATGTAATTCATTTATATTCCCAATGTAAAATGAAGCATTTTTGTGAGGAACATAATTTTCCTATCCAATCTTTGAGATCATTAAAAAGATATGTCTGTGAAATGTAGCATCAACATTTTCCTTATATAACCTTTTAAATAACTGCTACTGCAATTAAAACTTTAAAATGAGAAATACTTTTCAATGCTAAAGTAAACATATGTGCAAAAAAAATGCAGTAAAAACCGAAGTTTTTATGTCATTTCCATTATGTGGCTCACAATGTATTTTGTACATGTCATCTTTTTATAAGGAGTTCTTTATACAAAGAATCATATGGGCATATGGTTTGATTTTTGTTTTTGGTTTTGTTTTTTTTCTCCCAGTAAGAGTGACATGTTTGTGCTACTCCATTCACAATCTCTCATTTGGTCCTCTTTATGACTAATGACCTATAGGAAGGGCAAGAGGTGCAGTCTGTGGCCTTAAAAAAGATAAAAACTAACTAGAACTTATGCTGTTACTTTGAGATATCTTGGTATTGCTGTGCTACAAATTCCATCAACATGACATTATTGAAAATAAAACTACATTCAATCTAAATTAGACTACATCATTTTCTCTTTTTTAATTTAATTTATTTTTTGTTACCTTTTAAGTTCCACACTATCTTCTTCCCTTCTTCTCCACACCACACTAGAGAAGGCTACCATTTGACACAGATAGATGGACAGATAGGTAAGTAGATAGATAAATAGATGATAGATAGATAGATGGATGGATATAAAACCATACTATGCATATGTCTATTTATCAGTTCTTTCTCTGGAGGTAGATAGCATCTTCTGTCTTGGGTCCTTTTTGGTTGATTTGTCAATTGGGGAATGACTTGTATTCTTATAAATTTGATTTAATTCTCTATATATTTTAGAAATAAGGCCCTTATCAGAGACTGGTTGTAAAAATTCTTTCCCAATTTTCTACCTTCCTTCTAATCTTGGTTGCATTAGCTTTGTTTGTGCAAAAACTTTTCAATTTAATGTAATCAAAGTTATCCATTTTGCTTTTCGTTCTCTATCTCCTGTTTGGTCACGAATCCTCCTGTTCTTCATAAATCTGATATTCCTTTTTCTCTCAGTTTGCTTACAGTATCAGCCTTTATATCTAAATCATGGACCCATTTTGACTTTATTTTGGTATATGGTGTAAGATTTTGATCTATACCTAGTTTCTGCCTTACTCTTTTCCAGTTTTCCCAGTAGTTTTTGTCAAAGAGTGAGTTCTTATCCCAGAAGCTGGAGTCTTGTACAAAATCTTTTTAATTTAATGTAACCAAATTATCATCTTGCATCTCACAATGCTCCCGATCTCTTGTTTACTCACAAATTCTTCTCCTATCCATAAGTCTACTAGTTAATATATTCCATGTTTTTCTAATTTACTTATGGTATTTCCCTTTATACCTAGGTCATGTATCCATTTTGACCTTATCTTGGTAAGTGGTGTAAGAGATTGATCTTTACCCAGTTTCTGCCATAATGCTTTCTAGTTTTCCCAGTAATTCTTACCAAATAGTGAATTTTTGTCTCAAAAGCTTAAATCTTTCTGTCAAACATAAGGTTACTATAATCATTTACTACTGTATATTGTATGTCTACTCTGTTCCACTGATCTACCTTTCTATTTCTTAGCATCAGATAGTTTTGATTATTACTGCTATAAAATATAGTTTAAGACCTGCTAAACTAAGAACTGCTAAACCTCCTTCCTTTACTTTTTTTCATTAATTGCTCTGATATTCTTCACCTTTTGTTCCTCCAGTGAATTTTGTTATTATTTTTCCTACCTTAATAAAATAGCTTTTTTTTGGTAATTTAATTGAGATAGCATTAAATAAGTAGTTTAGTTTCAGTAGAATTGTCATTTTTATTACATTAGCTCTGCCCACCCATGAAAAATTAATATTTCTCCAATTATTTAAATCTGGCTTTATTTGTATAAAAATGTTTTATAATTATGTTCATGTAGTTCCTAGATGTGTCTTGGCAGATATACTCCTAGGTATTTTATGCTGTCTACAATTATTTTAAATCAGATATCTCTTAATATCTCTTCTTGCAGGGTTTTGTTGATGATATATAGACAGTGCTGATTTATATGGGTTTATTTTATATCCTGTTTCTTTGCTAAAATTATTTATTGTTTCAACTAGCTTTTTAGTTGAATCTCTGTGATTTCCCAGTGTATCATCATATCGTGTGCAAAAAGATAGTTTTATTACTTTGTTGCCCATTCTGATTCCTTCATTTTCTTTTGCTTCTCTTATTGCTATTGCAAGCAATAGCTATATTGCTAATATAATATGATAATATATACTTATACATTATATAAATATATATAAATTATATAATAATAATATAATTATAAATACAATATTGAGCAATATTGTTGATAATGGACATCTTTGTTTCACTCCTGATCTTATGGGGAAGGCTTATCCCCATTACAAATAATGTTTATTGATGATTTTAGGTAGATGTTTCTTATCCTTTTAAGGAAAAATCCATTTATACCTATGCTTTTTAGTGTTTTTTAAAAGGAATGAGTGTTGTAATTTGCCAAAAGCTTTTTCTACATCTATTGAGATAATCATATGATTTATGTTACTTTTGTTATTGATATAATCAGGGTTAGAGTTGGGCTCTAGTCTTGAGGTGTGGGGGATAATGTCTCAAGCTTCAGGTTTTTTGTGATGTTGTTTTCTGAGCTCTATCTAGGGGACTGACCTCAGGTACTCTTCTCTGCCCCTGAGCCGCAGCCAAAGCCCTCAGAAATGCTGTCAGCTGTCACAGTAAATGTTCTTCCTCCTTGTGGTCCTTTCCGTGGTTGAAAGCATCAGCTTACTCCTCTGTCTTGGACCCAAAACCAGGGACTCCATTGTCCTGGGAGTGACCCCAGCCAGCAGGGCCCCTGCCCCTCTGGGACCGCACTCACCAGCATGTATTCACCCTACTCACCCACAGCTGTAGCCCAGACCTGTCTGATCAGCACATCTGGACCCTACATCCAGCACCAGCAGAGGGTCCTGAAATTCTTCCCTAATTAGCTGTCTGACCCCAACATTATCTGTGGGGTGAGAGTTCCTGAAGCTGAGGCTGCCTTCTACACAGCTGTCCCCAGGGCTTGCTGTTTATTGATTTGGTGGTATCTGTCCCAGGTATCTGCACTTTAGTCAAGCCAGATTGCCACCAGGAGGTCAGGTCTTTCCTAGCATCCTACCAAGTTGTCTTAGGCTGGATAACTGCTTTCCCTTGATTTTTAATTATTAATTAATTAATTAAAATTATTTGTGAAGGAATTTGGGAGAGCTGAGTAATTTCCTGCCTTATCTATCATCTTCCCAAAATCCTCTCTGACTGTATCATTTCAGTCATTAATTAAATCTCTGCTGGTTCAGATGAACATAACTAAGAAATTGGAGTACCTTTGTAATGTGTTTTTTTTTTTCAAAATATACTCATCACACTCCAGATGTACCAGAAACCACTATGACTAAAACTCTAGGGATTCACTGGTAGATGGCCATGAGTTGTTGGAGCTATAAAACATAGGCCTTGGTTCCTGAGGGAAAACAGACTACTGGATCAAGGTTAAAATATCCAGGATAGGATATTTTATATCCTATATATAGGATAAATAGGAATAGACATTGCCTGACATTCTGTTATCACATAAAACGTTTGTGACTGGTGAACACAAAATTTTTATATATGTAGATGGTGGCTGATTTATTCAACACATACATACACACAAAATAGTACATATAATTCATTGGATGCAATCAGTTGTCATATAAGAGAGATGTATAATGTGTGTAGAACAATTCTGCTTTTCAACTGACTAATTAGTAAGTGACCTTCCCACTCTATTAGTGAAACTGTTGTTCTTGGAATCTTCCCTTCCATTTGCTTCTTTAACACTATAGTGACACTGCCCAAATTATCTTAACTACTCTTTTTTTTTCAATCATGTTTTGTTTTAGCTGTTCCTCCACTACTTTCCCATAACTTTTGGTGTTGCTCAAGGGCCTGTTCTTGGCCTGCTTCTCTTTTCTCTCTATAAAATTTACCATAGGGAGCTTATCTATTCTCATGGCATCAACAGTCAGCTCTATGTTGATTACTCCTATATCTGAATCTCTGGTCCTAATTCCTAAATTAAGCACTAGTCCTGTATCTCCAACTTGTCATTTACACTTGGATTTCAAGCTTGAAAAGTTCAAAACTGAGCTCATATTCTGTAATTACTGATAGATTTCTAGTCTTTCCTCTCTCCCTGTCCATGACATCAGCATTCTCCCAGTCATTGAGAGTTAAAACTTCATTCATCACTCATTCATCCATCACGTCCATCCCTTATAGGTAGTTATATAATAATAGAATCTTAGCATTGGAAGAGATTTTAACAATCCTTTAATCCAAATCTCCCACCAACCCAAAAGTTTCCACAATATCCATAATAGGTAGTCATCCAGTCTTTGCTTAAAATTCCAGTGATAATGGATTCACTATTTCAGAAGGAATCAAGTTCCATTTTTGGATAGCTCTATTAAAAAAAATTCTTCCTTATGTTGACCCTAAAGCTGCCTCATTGTAAATTCTACCCGTTAACCCTAGCACATCCCTATGGAGTTAGATGGAATAAATCTAATCTGTCCGTCATGTGACAGCCCTTCACAGTTATTGTTCCTCCCTAAGTTTTCTTATTTTTATACACCCCTAGTTCTTTCAACAATTCATCAAACACCATTTGGCAACATCCTTCTCAAAATATGGTGCCCAGTATTGGAGGTAGCACTTTAATTTGTGGTCTGACCAGTGTGGATGTAATCTGACTAATGCAGAAGGCAATGATTAACTCTTTTGTTCTTTCTAGGCAGTCTAAGACTATGCTTTCTTTGACAGCCACGTCACACTTACAGGCACCTTGTAGTTGACAAAACCCGCAAGTTGTTATTTATGAACTACTAAGCTAGGTTTTCTTGATCCTATGCTTATATAGTGTTCTCTCTCTCCCTCTCTCTCTCTCTCTGTGTATGGGGGGAATGATATGCAAGACTTTACATTTATGATGTTATTTTCAACATTATCATTTTTCAACATTATCATTTTACCTTGCTATCATCAATCAGCTAGCATTTATTAAACATCTACTATGTGCCAGGCACTGTGCTAGACTCTGGGGATACAATCTTGATTTTTATCATATGACTTCTTTTTTAGCTTTTTGTCATGCTTAGATTTGATAAGCATGTCTTATTCTCTTTTCCTCTGAGTTGTTGAATAAGACGTGAAACAGAACATGGCTAAGTGCAGAGCATAAGTAAACCCCAATATAAACTCTGTGATCATTGAATCATATCTGTCTTTTGTGTAAACATAAAAAATGCTTTTGTAAGGAGCTAGCTTTCCTCTTGGTGATTACAATCTTTAATGTGACATATTTTCTGCTAAGTTTTTAAATTTCCATATCACCAGCTATTTCTTCCTTGATGTACTTTCCTCATCATTTCCTTTTCTTTATCTATCTCCTTTGCTGACTCTTTATTCTCCTTGAAGCTAAATTTCCCATCAAGTTCTAATCTTGGCCCTCTTCTCTCCTCTCTCAACACACTGTTTTGATGATATCATCCACTCTCAGTTACAATCATCTTTAAATCAACATCTCTGTCCCCTTACTCTCTAATCCCATATTTCCAACTACTTGCTGTACTATATAACTCCATGGGGATGGCCTTGCAACATCTCTGACTCAGCATACTCACAACTAAACTCTCCATCTTTGCTGTCCAAAGATGTTCATCCCAAACTTTCTCCATTTATGTGTTTGGTACCACTGATCATGTAGCCCAGTCATGCCGTTATAAAATCTCAGTCAGTTTTTACTCTTTCCCCTCATTGCCCCACTCCACACATCCAATCAGTTGCCAGATTCTATAGTTTCCACCTCTTTGTTATCTCTTTTATCTATATCTTCCTTTCTGCCCTCTCCCCCCAAAATACTTCATTAAAGCCCTTGTATCTTCCTGCCCAGGGCCTCCTGACAAGTCTTTCTGTCAAAAGTCTGACCCCTTACCATTCCATTCTTTGCTCCACTGTACCATTTCAACTTCTTTATCGTTCATGATTTCAGTTATCCTTAATTCATTTGTTCATTCAACAGTATGTCTTAAGGTAGAATTGTTATTCAAATTAGAGCAAAACATCTGCCTTACCTAATTGTAACTCTCAATGCAAATAAATTCAGTTCACCAAACACTAATTGTTTATAGGTACTGTTGATAGATATGACATGAAGCGTATTCTCAATGATCTTACAATCCAAAAGGGAGAAGGGAATGCACAAATATGATATAAAAGAAAGTGAGATAAGTGCAAAGGAGAGTTTCAGGCAAAGTGCTATGAGCAATTTGAGGGAGAAATCAACTAGGAGACAGGAGTCAGGGAAAGACTTATGGAAAAAATGACACCTAAATTGGACCTATAAGTAGTTATCATCTGGCCCTGGATGCCAAAACTCCTGTCCACTAGAACAATCACATTTTCCTCCCCTTCATGGCCAAGATAGCCCTTCTGTTATAGGATATAACAAACATGGCACTAGTGTGAGGTCTATTGAAGGCTCTGCATTGGATTTGTTTTTCCATCCCATTTAGGAACCCTTTGACCCCTTTAGTTAAACGGCATATAGAGAGGCATTCCTTGAGTCCTTTCACCTTAAGGAGAACAGTTTGCATTTGTAAAAGGTAAGCACCTCCAACAGGGAGTCTTCAAAGTAGGATCTCTGTAATCTCTGGATTGATATTGAGGTTAACTTGGACATTTTTTTTTCTATTTTGGATGTATTACTTAGGTACCATTAGTTGAACAGCACTTCCGTAAAGAATTTAAACCATTCTTGAAGAAATGGTATAACGTCATTGGAGTGAGTGGTGATTCTCAACTGAAAATATCATTCCCAGAAGTTGTAAAATCCAATGATGTTATTATCAGTACAGCGCAAATCTTGGAGAATTCCCTTTTGAATTCAGAGAATGGAGAAGATGATGGTGTCCAGTTATCAGGTAGTTATTGGCTAAGAGAGTTTTATTACTGTGAATAGAAGTTCAGAGGTCTTTGATATAAGGAAAAAGAAACCTTGATTTGGTTGACATTTTATGATTTTTTCCACTTATTTTTCAAACTTTTTGTTAGGGACTGCTATATTTTCTTTATTCATAATAGAAGGTCCCTTATTAGATCTACCTGTAGAACAAAATCACTCTCAATTATTGGGAGAAAGGAACAAAATGGAAGATAAAAAGGATGTTAAATATTAATCCTCCATAACATTTTGAGAGAATAAAACAATTCAGCATTTTTGGATTTGGGAATAGAAAACATGGATTTGAATGCTTATCCTAGTATTTGCTATGTGCATGACCTTGGACAAGTTTCACCCCCTTTTCTAAGCCTCATAGCCTCATTTATAAAATTAAGAGGTTGAAGTTGATGACCTATAAGATCCCTTCTAGCTCTAAATCTTATTAAACCTATAAGGTAATAATTATTACCTGAAAAATCATATTATCATTGTGTGACAAATGAAATTTTGCCACTCTCTAATTAAAAAACAAAAATATCCCCCCACAAGACATACAAATTAAAAATAATTTAATGTGTTTTAAAAATTATAGTTTGACACTATAAACTCAGAGAAGTTCATTTGAAAGAATAATTTGAACAATTTTAATTTTCTTTCTAGATTTTTCCCTCATTATTATTGATGAATGCCATCATACCAACAAAGAAGCTGTTTATAATAATATAATGACGCGTTATCTGAAACAAAAGATGAAGAATTGTCGACTCAAGAAGGAAAATAAGCCAGTGGTACCTCAACCTCAAATACTTGGACTGACAGCTTCACCTGGTGTGGGAGGAGCCAAAAAGCAATCTAAAGCTGAAGAACATATTTTAAAAGTAAGTAATTACTTTGAAAGTGAGTAATTTAAGAGTAATATTGTACACCATAGAAGAAGCAGTGTCATAGAGTGGATTGAGAGCCAGCCTCGTGGTCAGGAAGACCTGGATTAGTACTGCCTCTGATATGGTAGAGTGGTCAGTGAAGTTACTCATTCTCTTACTGACCAAAGCAGTTGTCTCAAATCATAAATTGCACAGGGAGGTGCTGAACTACATTGTTAAAAGGAGTTCCTTCACTGGGACTTCCTTATCCTAATGAAATCACAGGTCCAGTTCAAAGATAAATTACACATTGTAATTTTTATTGATGTGTTGGTTTGAAATTTTAATTTATATTCATTAATATTTAATGAAATGAACAGAAGAAGTGTTCAATGATTTATATTTAAGAGAAATTAATATATGCACACAGAAAATTTGTATAGATAAACTTCTGCAAAACACCGATTTGCCTATTTATATTTGAAAAGGAACATTATCACATGAACTATGGAAGACTACCATGTTTAATAACCTGGGGCAAAATTAATGTCTTCTTTGTTTTTTTTAAACAGAAAGGCCTTGAGGTATCATGGGAAGAACACTGTACTTGTCATAAAAACACAAGTTAAAATCTGAGATTTGTCACTTGCAGGGCTTGAAGTTTGAGTCACAGCTTCACTACTACTTGTGTGATCTGAAGCAAGACATTTAATTTCTGGAAGCCGTCACTTCCTCATCTGTAGAAAAGGGATAATAATACCTGCCCTACCTGGATTATATGGCTTTTGTGAAGCCCAAGTGATCTTTGAAAGTGCTTTACAAAATGTGAAAGTCTATTCAAGTATTTTATTTTGTAAATATATTAACCTTAATGCCCAGTTCACAGTCTTTCTCTTCTCTCCAATTCCTGCCCTCATACTAGGGGACTTCAAGAACTATGCTGAAATTTCCTCAAACACCCTAAGCTCACGGGTCAACTTACTCATTTCTTGTGACCTACTTCTTCACCCCACCAGAGCTCCATATAGAGATGGCCATGCATAGAAATTTGTATCAGCAAAGGTATAACATTAAGTATGAAAGCTTCCACTTTACACTGGGAGTATGGTATTATTTCCCAGTGACATAGATGTCTGAAAAAGTGACATCCCTCTGAGTTGCTTTCTATCTGATAGAATCTTTAGTATTCTGATTTCTGACTTAGACAAAATCTACCCACAGCACTATCCTGTCAATTTCACACAAAAAATAAGAACACAGAGGAAAACACAGACCTAATGCCTTCTCTGATGAAAGAAGTGCTACATCCCACATTTTATAACTTCAGATAGTGACCACAAAGAGAAGTTCTACAGTTTGTCTGTAGATCATAAACAGTGCTAGGCCTGGAGTCAGGAAGACCCGAGTTCAAATCTAGACTCAGACACTAACTAGTGTGACCATAGGCAAAGATCTCTTTACCTCAGTTAACTGAACTGTAAAATGGGGATAATAATAACACCTACCTCCAAGGATTGTTGTGAGGATAAAACGAAATAATATGTGTGAAGTGCTTAGTACAGCTCCTGGCACATTGTAGGCATTATATAAATGTTAGCTATTAGTTATTGTTATTAATAGCTAACATTTATATAGCGGCTACTATGAAAAAAATTTACATGATAACTATTATGTATTTAAAAAGGAATAGCATAAGAGATTTGCAGTTTCATATACAATCATCTTTTTTTAATTAAACTGTGTTACAGAAATGCTTGTTTTATTCCATAAATTAAAATTCAGTAAAAATTTAAAAAATAAATGTTAGCTATTAGCTATTATTATCATCACATGAGTGCTTAGGAGTTACAAAGAACATGTGGTTCCAAGGCATATGGACAGATATAGATTTGATTTAATTCAGTTCAGTTCAGTAAACATCAGTAGTCTGCTACACACAAGGCCCTCCACAAAGGAAGCACAGATTTAAGTTTTGTGTCATAAACTAAACTCAGTAAAGTTAGTGGAAGACAATTCCGTTTGTCGTATCTATATTTTGGTCCCTAAATCCAAGTTGTTGTTTTTTATAGAGTGTTAAACCAATAATGTGATAAACTTAGGCCCAAAGCCAGAACACTAATATATACTGTTTCTATCGTTATCAAAGAGTTGCTGAGCCTATCTCCCAATAAATCTGTAGTGGATGCAGTCATCATGGTATTGTAATTTTCTCCATCTCAACTCATCAGCATGTGTATGGGAATGAAGGTGGCGGATTGGGGGTAGTGATCCAAGGTTGAAGCTTGACAGAGCAAGATCTACAGTAGGATAAGGGGACGAGAGACTCAAGAGAGAAGGACGGTGTACAGTTGAACTGGTTCATCATGGTGTCAAAATGGGGAAGGAAGGACAGTATAGCCAGGGCAAGGGATGACAGTCTCAGAAAGAAGGATTGGAGATCGTTGTAATAACAGCTAGAATTTATTATAGTGCTTTAAGGTTTGAAAAGTACTTTTATAAATATGATTTCATTTTTTTTCCTCACAACAACCTTAGGAGGTTGGTACTATTATTATCCCCATTTTAGACTTGAGGAAACTGAGACAAACAAGTGAAGTGACTCACCCAGGGTCACACAGCTAGTTAGTGTCTAAGGCCAGATTTGAATTCAAGTCTTCCTCACTCCAGGCCTAGCATGATAGAGATCCAGTGAGCCACCTAGATGTCTTGGTAAAGGAAGAACAAGTTTTGGAGCTACATGTAAAAAGAAGTGGGATGACAATAGATTCTGATTCCATAAAGGAATTTCAGAGTTCATGAACATGGATGTGGTACATTTGTGGTTAATAGCAAGATCAAGGATATGGCCATTTCTGTATGTACATGTGGTAGGGTGGAAGAGTAGGTCACGGGAAATGAGTTTCTTAGAATGTTTGAAGAAAGATCGGTATGGATTGTGAAGTCCCCTAGTATGAGGTTAGGAGTTGGAGAGGAGAGAAAAAATGTGATCTAGGCACTGAACCCATCAGAGAAGGAAGGAGGGTGTCCTCGAGGTCATTAGACCTCTAGAATCTTAATTTGGGTTTTAAACATAGATTGAATGAACCTCAAAGGAAGAGAGGTTACTGAGTTTTGGTGATAGAGGATGAGCCTTAAAGTGACAGTGATGAACATGGAGTATTCCATCTCCCACAACATGACCATGGAATGGGAGATGAGTGAAATTGTAGGGGTGTGCTGGTAAATATATAAAAAGTGGCTTTCTGAGAAAAACAATATATACACGGCACACTATCAAGTTTAAAACTTCTTTTCCATCACTGTCTTAGGTCTAGACAATCAACATATGAGACTCTGATTTGTAGCAATTTTATGATCAGTTTTCACAAGCTGGTTGAAGCTGGCTCCAGCACCTCCCTGACTTGAGAGGTTTAAGAAGTGAAAGAGCAGGGTTTGAACATTAGCAGTCTAGGTTTTCAGAATCACTTGGTTGAGGAAGAAAGTGTGTTAATCATTGAGGAATGAGTTCAGATAGATTATCAGTGCCCATAGAAATTCAGCCTGGGAGTGGAGTTGTCCCAGGGCATCAAACAGCAGTGTGTGGCTAGAAGGAGCAAGCAGGGGGATGTGCCTAAGCTGGGGCAACTGCTGTGGGGTTTGCTTAGCTGGAGAGAATGCCTGGAGAACCTGTAAGCAAGTAAAGCAAGTAAGGAATGTTGTCTGTTTCTTAGATGAGAAAGACTACTATGCCAAATTGAATCCAATATGTGAATGGAGAGTAATTATTTAAGTATTGAAAACTTTTCTTTTTACAGATATGTGCTAATCTCGATGCGTGTACAATTATCACTGTTAAAGAAAATGCTGCCCTTTTAAAAGAACAAGTGAAGGAACCCTATAAGAAGTTTGTGATTGCAGATGACAACAGAGAAGTGGGTTTGGAAATTTCTGTACTGTCTTTGTTTATACAGATGATGTTTTTAAAATTGAAATTAATCATTATTTCAGGTTAAAAAAATTATGCAAGCTATTTTACCCTTCCCTCCTAAAACAGTCATCCAAAACTATTAGAAAATAAAACCTCAGTTTTGTGATTATGCATTAATAGTAGGAAAAAAAACTATAACAAATATTTTCTTCTTTTCTCATTTTCAGCTTTTTGTTGCAAATAGGCTGTCAGAGAATACTTGCTAGACTAAAATTTAGGGTAGTAATTCACTTTAACCTTGATCATCTTGCAGAATTCCATTACTATTAAGCTAAAACACAGTTGCTCTTCCAAAAATTCTGAATAATAATAATAACAATAATAATTAACATTTATATAGCACTTACTCTGTGCCAGGCACTGTGCTAAGTGCTTTAAAGTATTATTGCATTTGATCTTCACAATAATCCTGGGAGGTAGGTACTATTATTTTCCCAATTTTACTTTTGAAGAAAGTGAGGCAAAGATTAAGTGATTTGCTAAGTGTGACACAGCTAGTAAGTGTGTGAGGCAGGATTTGAATTTTACTTCAGACCCAGTGCTCTATCCATTGCACTACCTGGGATACAATGATGGTGGTAGTCCCAACTTCTGTAAACTATTTTGGATTTTTAAAAAAAATATTGCTCATAGTGAAAATGAGTTATATTTATTTGTGGATTTATTGTAGGTGTGTGTATGTATAGTACAAGCTCTGGGGCTTCACTTGCACTGGCCGGTCAAATGCCCACAGACAGGCCAGCTACTTCTTGCCTCAGGGCTCTAGGGGACCCTGAAGAGCCAGAGTACTATAGCACATGAGCCCCTACCAATGTGGTTTTCCTGTTGATTATCCATTGATATCAATTAGCCAGCCAGACTTAATTGACTTTTAGAAACAGGTAGTAACTAAAGTAGTTAACAGTATAGTAATAATATAGCATAGCATAGTATAGTAGTAATATAGTATAGTATAGCATAATATAGTATAGTACAGTAGTAGAGTAAGTCGGTAAAGACATCCCTCCAAACTGGAGCTATAAGTACATACAAAGTCCAGGGGAAAGTGAGCTCTCCAGAGTAAAACATATGTGGCAAATGGGGTAACTTCACATCTCCTGGAAGTCATTTTGCCATGATATAGATTCTTCTGGGCTCTTTGTAGAGTCCTCAAGCTATCTCCTCATCATGTATAATTTGTCCTGGGATCCAAACGCAAGCAGTTCCATTGTCATGAGGAAAATATGAGAATATCTATAAGAAGTCTAATTCTTCCATACTTTCAAAGTTTATAAGGACCTCTGTACAGATGGAGGGGGGCAGGCAGAGACAGAAGCTTTTCTCCCCTTCCCTAAGTCTCAAGGACATAGCTAGCACTACTCTCTTCTCAAGGCTTGTAGACACAGGAATGCTGGGTTCTGAACTGATTTTACTATCTTATAGAAGACCCACAAGCAATAATTGAATCCATTCAGCCATCTCAATACACTTTCTATGCAATGTCACTCAGTTTCAAACAATAGCTTTTACTCCTTCCAAATTGATCAGTGTCTTCTCATGTTAGATCTAATGTGCTTGACTGATTGATTAATTCAGTAGGAGTATTCTCACCTGATAAGGTGTAAGGGCACATCATCTTCTTAGTTACTTCCTTTGAGCTGGAGGTGAAAAATTGATTGATTCAGTCAACCCCTACCCTTGCATTTACAACTAATTCACTTCATTGAGATAACATAAATATGTACCTCAGTTTGGGTCATTATGATTCCACGGTTAGTCAATAATTTTATGTGTAAGATTAAAAACTAAAACCAACATATGTTTGACCTAACAAGTTTTTGTGTTGCTTCCAAGTATACCTAGAGCCATCGTTTGAAATTTGCTTTTTTCTTGCCTTTTATTCAGAACCATTATATATTTTACTTCATATTTTTTTAAAAACCTTAACAATCAAGTATACCAATTTATATAACAATGGCATTAGCACTGCTGTTTTTCTCTTCTTTGGTTGTTTCATTTGTCAGCCCTAATGGATTGAATTCTGGTTTCTGCCTCTAATTTGTATGAGAACAGTTTCTGATTTTTAACAAGTTGAAATTGTTTTTGTCTTTATACTAATCTTCAGCTCTTTAAGTTGGTAAAAAATAAAAGTGATACCAATTCTTCAAAGAGAAATGTTTTCCTTAAGTATAATTATAGACTTTCCCACCAAATATGAAAGTTATTTATCATTCATTAACTTTACTCTATGAAACTATTGGATTGCTTATTCCAATAGGGGCAGTATATATTGGTGTATTCTGTATGTGAGATAGAAAAATGGGAAATGAGAAGGAGGTGGAGGAAAAAGACTGGAGGCTGAGAGGGAGACAAAAAGAGAAAGAGAACATATATGTGCATGGATGCATAGACATATATTGGACAGCTAGTTGGCACAGTGTATAGAGACCTGGATCCGGAGTCAGGAAAGCTTGAGTTCAGATCTGGTTGTCTACCTCATTTTCCTCAACTGTAAAATGGGAGTAATGAGAGCACCTACCTCACAAGGTTGTTGTAAAGATAAAATGAGGTACTGATTGTAAATCACTTAGCACAATGCCTGGCACAGTGTAAGCTCTATATAAATTCATGTTTACTACTACTACTGCTGCTACTACTACTACTACTGCTAGTACTACTACTACTACTACTACTACTACTGCTGCTGCTGCTGCTGCTAGTACTACTACTCTGGATCATCAGAAATATACCTGTAAATAAGGAGGACTTGTTATTCTTTTTAGATAACGGTTCCCAGGATCCATGGCCAAAACAATGTGTACTGCAACTGTGCAGTGATTTAGAGGGATGGCATAATGTAATATTTACTACATTTGCACTGTGCTAAGTTGTGATGATATTGCTGAAGTAAATTTGTGAGGCTATGCTGGCAAATTGCCTTCTCTGTGTGCTTCTCTATGAATCAAGAGAGCACTGGTCAGTGAGTGGGGTTCTGGGGAATGCATAAGGAAATGCATGTGTGTCTGCCTCAACTGGCCCCCACTGAGAATTGTTTTGATTGGCCCCCATTAAGACATAGGAGTTATTGCCCCCCCTTCTTGCCCGCCCCTATGAGAAGGGTGATTAGGGGATCATGTAGGAGTTGGTGCTCCCATTATCAGGTACCCATTAAGATAGAGAAGAATAAGAATAAATTATTATATAACCCCTCCAAAGCTGTCTTCCAGTCCTTCTGGCTACCCAGATTAAGAGTGAACCTGTTAGAGGCTGGAGTCCAAAACCTCCAGTGGGGGCTCCTTGTTACAATACCCTTTTCTTTTCCTAAATAGTTTTGCTAAAGTATATGGTAATATAGATATTATTCTAACAGAGGTCAGTCAGTCACCAATATAAAGTTATGATTGTTTTATTATTTTATTTTTAGAATCCATTTAAAAAGAAACTTCTAGAAATAATGACAGACATTCATACCTTCAGTCAAATGAATCCAACATCTGATTTTGGGACACAAACTTATGAACACTGGGTCATTCATCAGGAAAAAAGAGGTAATTTTGGTTTTTACTGAGTACCTTTTAATTTGATTTATCATATTAATGTTTCAGAAACTCATATTTAATACAATATATTTTCTAAGATTTATTCTCTGTGCATTGCAGCTGTAATACAGAGTCAGGATAAAGACCAACATGTGTTGACATTTTGTCAAAGGAAAGAGGCACCAGGCTATTCAGCATCTTGACTTCTTTATCATCTCTGCCTTATTATGCTTCCCCAAAAAACCCTTCAAGATAAATATTACAAGTTGATATTAAAAGATAAATAGACCTAGCACATTTCCCCCAGAGTTAGTTGAAGAAAAGCAAGCAATGTAGCTGAACTGCTTCAAGGGAGGGAGCAAGTTGCAGCCCCAGACCTCGGAAGTACAGCAGGGTTTCTCCTTTGATAGGGAATGGAATCAGCCAATGCAGTTCCATAGGTCTCAATGGGTGTTGGGGGTATTTTAATCCTTGAACAATCACTACAAATCCATGCTTAGTGTGTGAGAACTGAGGTTGTCTAATCTAGCCCTCTCATTTTTCAGAAAGTGAACCTGAGTCCTAGAGAGATTGTGGCTTGACCAAAGGCAAACAGATAGTAAGTTGCTGAAGTGGAGACGGGCTTCAGCAGGGCCTCGGACTGCAAATCAGCCTCCCTTTGCCCTGGACCGTGCTGCCACCTAATGCAGAATTTCCAGTGGCATGAAACAGCACTATAATGGTTTCCCGGGTTCACAATGTTTGCACGAGAGGAAAGGCAGTGCAGCCAAGTCATAGAATCAGGAAGGGAGCAAATGTGGCTGTTGGCACTGGAAGAAAGTACCTTAATATTTCCATTCATTCAGAGGCAGCCTGCTGCGAGCATACATATATACATGCATACACATGCATACACATGCACAATACGTATATGGCAGCCTACAGCTAAGATACAGATATAGAAATAGAGGTAGATGATAGCTATGGCTGCCTGTGTGTATGTTTATATGTTAGTATGTTTGTGTGTGTATGTATGTATATATGTATAGCCATACATATATACATACATATACATATAGCAGAATTATAAAAGTTATGTGTATGTGTGTGCATGTATACACAAATACATGTATGCATGCACCTCCAGCAGAATCATTCATATATATATATGTACTGTATATGTATGTGTGTGTATATGTACTCACACAGACATACATATATATGTTGGAAAGTCATTTTTTTGTGTGTATATGAGGGTGGCCTTTTACAAGCCTTAGTTGTAGAACATTATAGTGTGAAAGTAGAAGAAGAAGGCAGCAGATGGGGTTGTAGTTGTGGTGAGGCCCATGGCTATGGTCATCTTCTGTCATTGGGTATGTGCCTTTGTGTGCCCTACCGGCACACCAACCTCATTAGAAAGCAGCCAGAAGAGTGGATAGTGTGTGTGTGTGTGTGTGTGTTTCCTCCCAGCTTGTGCCTTGTGTCTGTAGCCATATTAGCAAATAAGTACTATTTGGGATTAATGATTGCCTTAAATTCTGTGGAAATACCTTTTAGAAACCCCTTTCCTTGGGGCACGCCTGGTACAGATTTAGAAGCATTACTAATATGCATTTGTGCTTTATGCTCTCCTGGCATGCTTTCAAAGCAACTGTAGAGTCTAGAAGACTTCAACTAGTTATATCAGATATGAGGCAGCATGGGGAATTGGCCTCAAAGAAGAGTAGATTTGGGGAAGAGTTAGCATTTTCTACAGGGATGTGTATAAGATGACCCTAGGGAATATTTTCTTTTATGTCACTCTTTTTTTCTTTAAAGCTGCAAAAGAAGGAAATCGCAAAGAACGTGTTTGTGCGGAGCATTTGAGGAAGTACAATGAAGCCCTGCAAATCAATGACACAATCCGAATGATAGATGCATACCACCACCTCAAAAGTTTCTATAATGATGAAAAGGAGAAGAAGATAGCAGCCCAAGAGTATGATAGTGAGGAGGAGGAGGAAGAGGAGGAAGATGATAACAAAAAGAAACTATTGAAATTAGATGAAACAGATCTGTTTCTTCTAGAATTATTTTATGGTAAGAATAAATTTTTGTTTAAATTGCAGAGAATCAGAATTAAATTTGATGTAAGGAGAAATTTTCTAACAATTAGTACTATTCAAATGTGGAATGGGCTGCTTAAGGAGATAATGGTGTTTTCCTTCCTCATTTGATGTCTTCCATTGAAGACTAAGTGAACACTGGCTGAGGAAGTTGTAGGAGGGAGATCAGTGAGATGTAGTTTAAAATACAAGACCTCTGAAGTCATTTCTAATTTGGAGAGACATACACTTAAAAAAATTAACATTAACTTAAAGTTAAAATTTTAAAAATTAACATTAACTTAAAAAAATCACCCCAATGATATAACTCCCATCTTTTTTTTCCAGTTGTAAGCCTGATCATGTCCCTCAACAGTTCTCAGTTTCCAACCATAAGAGATTTTTTTCTGTTCTCCAGTCTTTTTCTATACTTTCCTGTCTCTGAGCAATCATTCAAGCTGTTTTTCCATGCCTGGAGCACACTCCTCATCGCTGCCTACTGAAATCTTTCTTAGCTCAGATACCACTTCCTCCATAAAAGCTTTATCACCTAAATAGAAAGTGTTCTTTCTCCTTAAGTTTTCTTGCTTGAATCTCTTCTTTGCCTTTATCAAACTCTTGTATAATACCCATTTGTGAATATGTACGTATTATTATACAATATTTCCCTTAGTTTGTAAGCTCCTTGAAGACAATATCATTTTTATCTTTACATGCCTACTGCCTAGTGCAACACATTGCATATGTTGTTGTCTAGTCATTTCAGTCATTTTCAACTCTTCATGATCCCATTTGGGGTTTTCTTGGCAAAGATACTGGAGTGGTTTGCCATTTCCTTCTCCAGCTCCTTTTACAGATGAGGAACCGAGGCAGACAGGTTGAATGACTTGCCAAGGGTCACACAGCTAGTAAGTGTCTAAGGCCAGATTTGAAATCAGAAAGATTCCTGGGTTCAAAACCAGTTCTCTGTCTACTGTGCCACTTAGCTGCCCTACATTGCATATAATATGTACTTCATAAATGTTTGTCGAATTTGAATTCATGCATGATTCATACATGCATATCTCTTTGGTAAGAACCTACTTCTAACTAGTTTAGATAGAACTCTAACACTTCACTAGCTTTGTGGCCCTGGGCAATTCATTTGACCTCCTTGTTTCATGAATAACTTCCTATAATTTATCATCTAAGTCATAGACAGGCTGTGAGAATTCCACATCCTGATAAAATCACAGATTGTTTGCATATTCATATATGTTCTGTATTCTTCAAAGAGTCACAGAGCAAAAAATAATATGGGGAGCTCTTTGTTTTTAGCCTGTTTCTTTATGATTTGACTGAAATTTCCACAGTATGGGCTTTGTAATTGATTGGGCTTTTAGCCTGATTGGTATTGGATTTTCTGCCACATCTAAGTTATACTAACTGAACCTTGAATCCTTGTGTAGTCAGGACACTTTTTAGTTGCTAATTCTAGGAATTTTTAAAATAATTTTGTATATTTCATTGATTTTTTTTTCACTAATTGCTTCTTAAAGAAAATAAGAAAAAATTGAAAAAGCTGGCCATCACTCCAGATCACGAAAATGAAAAACTGACCAAATTAAGAAATACCATAATGGAAGAGTTTACTAAAACTGATGGATCTGTAGCCCGAGGAATAATCTTCACCAAGACTCGACAAAGTGCATTTGCTCTTTCTCAGTGGATTAATGACATTGAAAAATTCGCTGAAGTAGGAGTAAAAGCTCACCATCTAATTGGGGCTGGAAATAGCAGTGAATTTAAACCCATGACACAGGTATCCCATTAAGTATATTAACTAAACTAAAACTCTACTATAATTTTATTTTTATGTTAATTATTTATACTTTCTTTTTGAATTTTGTTCTTGAAATCTGGCTTGGTGTAGTGGTAAATACCTATAATCTCTACTCCTTTAGAGACTAACGCTGGAAGATTTCTTGAGCCACTGGGCTGCTGAAAGAAGGGGGAACTTGCCTAAGTCAGAAACTGGGAGAGTGACTGCTGTACTTCCAACTTAGGCAAGATAAGGGAGACTTGGAAAGAAAGAAAAAAAAGAAAGAGGGAGAGAGAAAGAAGGAAGCAAAGAAAGAAAGGAAAGAGAGAAAAGGAGGGAGAGAGAAAGAAAGAAACGAAGGAAGGAAGGAAGAAAGAAAGAGTTTGGATTTTAATAGAAATCTATGTTTTATTATACAGTGGCTAGAGTATCAATTCCTGTGATCCAGACCCTTCAATTCTGGTCTCAGATCTGGTACAGAATCAAAAGTAGCAGCAAATCCTTCTTTGACACATTTCCAGAAACCGTGTTACTAAATTGACTTTACCTTGCAAGAATTAGTGTCATTACTCAAATAGTTAGAGATTAAGATGCCTCACTGTCCAGTTGTTCACTGTTATCAGAATTTCTGCCAGTGTTCCAGTGGGCTATGCTTCTGGGTTGCTCAGTTGTGATTCACCCAATATCAAAATCTAGAGCAGAATCCCAGCAGGCCTGCAGAACCCCTGAGTGTGGCCTAAACGAGTTTAAAATGTAATTGGGAAATGTTTAACAAAATAAAGAAAAATATAAAACATAGATAATGTTAATTTGTGGTTTTCTAGTCCCTATGTGGTAGGCAGGCAACCATATCTATATCTATATACTTGAGTTCAACACTACCAATTTAGAGAAAGGTTCCCAGTTGCTTTAGAACAGTGCTTCTTAAACTGTGGGTCACACCTCCATATGGAATCATGCAAAATTTGGTAACAGTAAAAGGTTTCTGAACACACAATGACCGAAAATTAATTCAAAATCAAACATGTAATGAACCCAAGGTGTTTCTGGCAGCACTGGCCCATGTTGCATCAGCAACTTCACTGCAGCCTTGGCTCTGAACACACAGCATGTACACTATACACTGCACATGCCCTCAGGCCAAGCAACGTCAATGCTACCAAAACACAAAAAGGGGTTGTGAGTGGAAAAAGTTTAAGAAACCTTGGTTTAGTAGACCTCCTGTGGAAGACTTATGAGAAGGAATGGACAAGAGTCACCAAGGAGAAGATAATGTGAATAGGTCATAACCTGCATCATTAAGCAGAGTACCCATATTAATTAGATCACAGATCCATTGAAGTATCATTGAAGTATAAATTCCATTGGGGTATTCCAATATTGTTTGTTTCTGTTATTAGCTTGTTTATCCTTTAGTCTCTTGAATAGACTTGAGGCATGGACAGATGTTTAATATTATAACTCAGTATCCAATAAGGTCTATCTCTTTCAATTAATTCTACACCAACACTTGTCCAAACAGTGACCTTTTGGATGTCATAGTGGTAAAAGTCATTAACCTCAGAAATGGGAGATGGGACTTGGCTAAAAGTCAGTTTAACTCTCTAGCTTACATCTTGATAGAAGCTAACAAAGGTGACCTTAAGATTACAGAGAAGACACTTTCTTGACAATCCTACATGTACTTTTTCCTACTGCAAACCAATCAATCTCTTGATTAACAAGGACTTTTTAAGTGCTCCCTATGTGCCAGACACCAAGTTAGGCACTAGAGACACAAAGACAAAAGGGAAATGCCTCTCTGCCCTCTGGGAGCTAAAGTAGAACAGCTGTGTTTAGCAAAAGAACGGAAGCAACCAGCTGCACATAGATTTTTCTACTCCTAGAAAAGTGTCAAGGCACAGAGCCTTCAATCTGAAATAAAAGGGCCTAGGTTGGAACGCCAGCTTTAATGTTTACTTTATGCATGTTCTTGGGTAAGTCGTGAGACCCCTCTGAGACTTCAGTTTCCTCATCTGTAAAATAAGATAATAATTTATATTAAAAGGTTTTTAGGTTGAAAACACACCATAAACTGAAAAGTGCAATATAAATATTAGCTATTCTTGTCATCCCTTTCCTCATTGCTTTTCTTTTGAAAGTATAGGGAATTCAGGATTTTCCCAGGTAAAACCAGGAAAATACACTCTCATGTCACTTTTTGATATTTGTCCCTAAGTACTTTCTTAAATTGGCTGCTGGCTAAAAAAGAGCATTTCCTGAGTGAATACTTTTAAAGGCAGTTTTGGTGGGAGTGATGGCAAAAAGCGGGTGAAAAATCCTGAAAGACTTCTATAGGGCACTGCAGTGCCCTGCCTTGGAATCTGAATGGTGGTAGCTTATGAGGGCACTGGGAGCCTGTGAAGGTTATGGAAAGAAAACTAAAAGATGAGAGCTCCAAAATATATCAATAACAAAGAAAATTTAACTTCACTAACATTTTGCCTTGAGTATGAAGGTATACTGATTCTACCACAATATGTTAATGCTAATTCATTTCATCATTTAAGAGATCAAGGTTACAAAATGTTTTTTTTAAAATTCATATGTAGCACCCTTATATCAAATTTGAGATAATAATTATTTGTTTTAAATTTATTTGAAAAAGTCATATAAATAATTTTATGTAAAATAGTCTATTTTATGATTTAATCACTTTCAAAACTTCAGTGGCTTTGATTTTTTTATGTTGTGTGTTTATTTTATTCAAAAGGTTCAGATGATATACACTTTACTATTTATTTGAAACTTTCTTTTTGACTTACAAGAGGTGACAGATATCCAATCGAGCCACTATATTCTGGACTTTCTGAAAGTCTAAGATTCTAAAGTTAATGCAGTGTAAATATCCTTTACAATGTTTTAGTGATTATGTAATATTCCCATTCAAAGGTACTTCCTTCCCACCCCCAGTATGCCCACCATTTCATCTCCATAGCTTAAAATTATAGTCTTCCAATCTCCAGACTAAACATTGAAACTGTTTTTTAGCATGTCATATAATCAAAATGAAAATCAGATGTTAATTTGCTCAAGCCCAAAACTAGTGACACCATTTGATTTATACTTAGCCTCAATTTATAATAACTCTTCCAATGGGGAAAACATTTAATGTGTTCAACAACATAAAATTAACTTTATGAACTCTTTCTGCAGAATGAACAAAAGGAAGTAATTAATAATTTTCGTACTGGAAAAATAAACCTACTTATTGCTACCACAGTAGCTGAAGAAGGCCTGGATATAAAAGAATGTAATATTGTTATCCGTTATGGTCTTGTCACCAATGAAATAGCCATGTTACAGGTATATTTAGTCAACCTTAATTTCTTTCATATTCTATTCATTTTTTCCTTTTTTCTATTTTATTTTATTTGTCTTCAAACAGCACAAAGTATAGAAGAATAGAATGTTAGAGCTGAAAGTGACCTTAGAATTCATATAGATATCTCATTTTACTAATAAAAAATTCAAAGTCTAGACAGGGTAAGTGTTTTAACTCAAGCCAGGCAATAAATTATTGTATCAAATTGATCGATAACAGATGGGAACTGGGACCGGACCTGTGATTTCATTGGTCTAAAAAACTCCCAGAAGAGGACATATGGGACATCAGAGGAATTTGTTTGTTAGCCTAGAGCAAGAGAAAGCCACTGGGGCATCTTGAATTCTGGGAGGTACTATGGTCAGACTTGTGTTCTAAGGAAATTAGGCTGTCAAATAGATATATGGAGGATAGATTGGAAAGGGGAGAAGCTAGAGACAAGGCTATTTCTTTGTTCAAGCAAGGGGTGATGAGGGCCTGAACTAAGGTGATGAAGACAGAGAAGGAGACAGTTGCAAGATACATTAACACTGACAAGACTAGGCAGCTGATGCATGTGAAGGATGCAGGAGATAGAAGAATTAAGGGTGATCCCAGTTGACAACTTGGATGATGGGGAGAATTGTGTTGTCCTCAGCTGAAATAAAGATGACAGGAGAAGAAGGAGGACTTTGGAGAAGAGAGAATGGGCTCTGTTTGGGATATGTTAAGTTTAAAATGCTTATAAAACATCCATTTGGAGATGTCTAATAGGAAGCTAGTGATGAGAGACTAGAATTTAGGAGAAAGACTGGGGCTGAATATATAGAGCTGAGATCTAGCTGCATAAAGGTGATCATTGAATAGTTGGGAGCTCATGAGATCCTCTAGGTCTAGGGTAATGGTTTCAAAGTTTGTTTTATTTTGTTTTCCTGGTAAAAGAGGAAGCATAGACCAATAGCTTTATAAAAGCTATCATATTAAAACCTTTAGCCCAGTTTTTAAGGCATATGATACTTGAATCTTTTTTGTCTCTGTTTACTAAAACTTTAAACAATATAGTATTGTTGTTTTGCAAAGGTGGAAATAGGCCATTTCATTCTTAGGATGGCTTTACTATCTCTATTCTTGGCCTTTAGGATTTTCTAGAACATTGAAAGATTTTTAAATTAAAAAATAACTTAGACTGGATTTCTCTATAATCATTACAGAATCCTCTACTTTTATGCCCATCCACCTTTAGAAATTAAAAAAAAAGTCATCAGGATTTATTTTACCAATTTTTCTCCAGTTTTCTCTTCTCTTTATTTTTCTCTTACATTATGAGAAGACCAATTATGTTGGGCAAGAGAGTATTTTATCTGAGGGTATATAAACCTGTGGGAATAAGGTGGCCACATATGCCATTGCTGCTAAGCTATGCTTTTTGTTGGTACTTTCAAACTGCCAAATATTTTTGGAACTCATATACCCTCTTCTTCCTTCTTGAAAATTCAATTTCACATAAATAAAAATATTTGATACCAGCATTTCCAACAAGCCAAGACTACAAGAAGAGTATTTACCAATCTACAAATAAAATGAATTGTAACAAACACAGTTTGGAATATAAAAGTATAAAGTACCCCAAAAAAATATAAAAATAAAGTATAAAAAAAAGTAGAAGTGCAAAGTCATTGCTAAGAAAATCTTACAAGTACCCTGAAGAGGCTGGTTTCATTATATTTTGTATTGGTGGTATTTTTAATTAAATGTGAATTCGAAGAGGCAAATAATGGGATGTATGGAGACTTGATGATAAATATTTTATGTGCTAGTTGTTTGAACGTGTTCAAACTAGAAAGTAAGCTGTGTCAAAGCAATCACCATCTTATTTTTTTAGGCCTCCCCTCGCCCAGTGCTGCACACACTTACCTAATACTGTGTCAGTTTGGTTGTTGAGTACATGCAATAGCCTGCTTGACTTCTATTATTTTTATTGCAGTGTTTCACTTCCAGCATAATGATCATGGGGCAAAGAGTACTACCATCCCATATTTTGTTTTAAAGGGAGGCGGGTAGATCCAGGATTTTTCATAAATAATTATTTTCTTTGATGTTTTTATAGGCCCGAGGTCGAGCTCGAGCTGATGAAAGTACATATGTACTGGTGGCAAGTGGTGGCTCAGGAGTGGTTGAACGTGAAAGTGTTAATTTGTATCGTGAGAAGATGATGCACAAAGCTATTGACCGGGTTCAAAATATGAATCCACAGGAGTATGCTCATAAGGTATTGCTAGTGGCCATTTTTACTTTTCAGTTATTTTTCATAGAGCATCATAGAATCTCAGTTGTTAGGGACCTCTACTGTAATCAGTACTTATATAGGAATCTTCCTCCCTACAATTATCTTTTTGCTTTGGGGGAAAAAAAAAGCTCTTACTAGGCATGGTAGTCTTCACCTGTAATCCCTGATTCTGAGGAGGCTGAGGTTGGTGGATCGCCTGAATTCTGGAGTTCTAAACTGTGGTAGGCCAAGCCAATTGGATGTCTGCTCAAAGTGTGGCACCAGTATGATGAGTGCCACGCAGTTGGGGGCCACTAGGCTACCTAAGAAGTGTACAAACCAGCCTAGGTTGAAAATAGAGCACATCTAAATTCCTGTGCCAATCAGTAGTGAGTAGAATTGGGCCCATTAATGGCCCAAGTGAATTAAGGAGACCCGGTCACAAACAAGAAAAACAAAAAGAAAAAATTGTCCACATGTGGTTGTGATACCTATCTCTATGGCTAAAAGAGGAAAGATGTATTTCCATTGGAAATAGTGAGTAATGCCAGGCTTCCCAAATCCAAATCCACGCACAAATATACTTTCAAATTCTGTAGGATGCAAGAAATCACAAATGAATCGTATAGGCCAGATTATGCCAATGATGGGCCTCAGCAGCATCAGTTAATGCTAACCCTAAACCAGGGAGACTAGTGTAGCTCACTAGTTCAGTTAATGTTTGTAGTACTAGAGTGAACTAACTCATATGTGCAATGACAGTATCTCCATATTCCAACATATTGTAATTTAAGGTATAGGTGGTGATAAAATGAAGGATTTATGTGCTGTTGTAGAAGAATTTAAGGAAATTCATCACTTCAGAGGATCTAAAGATACATCTGCATAATAGTAAATCAGCATTTTGGGAGGAAATTAACTAGAGTGTATAGATGTGGGTGTTATTTTATTTAAACATAAAATATGGTTCTACCCTGAATAATATTTTGTGGATTCCAAGTTGGTACATGTTGCCTTATGGAGAGGACTTTTTTTTTTAATCCAAAACCGCTTAGTCAGACTTCTGCCCCATCTAAGTATCATAGGATCATAGGAATAGGCCTAGGCCTGGACCTATATCCAGGGAATTCCCTGATGCAGAAACTCCCTATTGCAATAAAGATCAACAACTTCTTTGCAACTCAAGTCTTAGTTGCTTAGAGCACTGAGAGTTTAAGGCACTTACTCAGGGTCACACAGAGTTAGGATTTCAAAATGTAATAGGCCTTAGAGATATTTTATTCCAATCCCCTCATTTTATAGATTGGTGAAACTGAAACCCAAAGGCATTAAGTGACTTGTGAGAGGGTACATCCTATATGTAGCTAAGTATAAGTCTTCTAACTCCAAATCCAATGCTACCCTACAACATGCTACCTTATCTCTGAAACTTTCAATTTCCCATGGTCAGATCAGAGGACAAACTAAATATTTGTAGACCGATAGTTGTTTCAGTCATGTCCTACTCTCCTTGACCCCATTTTGGGATTTTCTTGGCAAAAATACTGGAGTGGTTTTCCATATTTTTCTCCAACTCATTTTACAGATGAGGAACTAAGGCAAATAGGGTTAAGTGACTTGCCCAGGGTCACACAGCTAGTAAGTGTCTGAGGCCAGATTTGAACTCATGAAGATGAGTCGTCCTTATTACAAGCCCAATGCTCTATCCACGCACCACTTAGCTATCCCTAGGACTAATAATACCATTGGGAAATTATTATTTCGGTCAACAAGTACTGACATTTAACAAATATTTATTAAATTTCTACTGTATTCAGGGTACTGTGATAGATGTTAGAAGAGATAAAAGTTTAGATAAGAGATGTCCTCTGCCTTCATGGACTTTATAATGTAGTCATTGACAATTATAGAAACTGGATTTTTAATGAGAAATGAAAAGTCATACCTAAACATTTGAGTTATTCAAGTTAATTCCTTGGTAGCAACTTCTAGATCAAACCCAGACTCTCCAGGCTTTCCCTGTACCAAGTCTCAATCTATACAGTAAACACAGAACTGATTCAGCATCCTTTTGGTTTCTCTGAAGCACTCAGTCTACTCTGTTCCTGACCTTAAACTTCCTAAACCAAACCAAATTTCTAAGGACAAGAGATGCTCATATACTCCTTCTCCCTGGAATTCACCAGCACTTTCCACTTTATTTTTATAGTTTCTCTGTGCTTAATCTGATTGCAACAGTACCAACCACCACCACCACCATCATCTTCATCATCACAGTGTCTATTGCCCTATTTTCATTTTTTCATACCCTTGTGATATTTCTAGGCTGTTCTTTCAGCTTCTTATGTAAATCTTACATAGTCTTAGTGAATTCCTAAAAAGTTTCTTCTGCCTACTGTGTGTGATTCATCACATAGTACTTCGTAAGCGCCCACATGAACATGGTGCTATGCTAGAATGCCTCCTCTCTTCAGTTCATTGAACTGTAAATGTCTTGATTTTCACTTCTGGCGTGACCACCCCAGCTAACATCCTAGTGAATATAATACTTTAATTCCTCATATTATTTTACTTTATGTATAAAAGTTACTTATACTTGATTGATTAAATCAATGTCATATAGCCTCATAATGTGCATATGATCTTGCTTTGGAGTTTGTTTTTTTCTTTTGGTCACCTGCACTCTAGAGTTTAACTTAGTCATCCATAGCCCCCAGGCATAATATAATTATCAGGTATGCAAGGTAGCCCATAACTTTCTTTTAGCCCTGAGGTGTGCAGAAAAATAATACTTAAAGCTTGGGTGCATAGAAGGACATTTAGCAACATTCCATAAGCACCAGTCAACAGAATGAGTTAAAAATCTTATTCTAGCATGACAGAAAGGAGGGGTTTGCACAAAAATTTGATTAAAAACTTTAATTTGAAAGATAAGATTTGCTCATTAGAATATGTCTGTAAGCTCCAAGAGAACAGGGATTGTTTCTTACCTTCCTTTGTGTCCCCAGAGCTTAGCACAGTGCCTGGCACATAGTAGGTTCTTAAATGCTTGTTGACTGATAATATGGGTCCACGATCCACATGTCCCATAGTTGTTACAATTATGTGTTGTCAGTACGTGCTCAGAGTTCCTCGTAATTCAGTTCAGTTTAACAATTATATTGAGTATCGTGTGAGTACATATATATATGTGAGTCTATGTATGTGTACAAGGCACTGTAAGGGAATACAAGGAAGAATGAAGTATGATTAATGACTTCAAAGAACTTAGAGTGTAACAGAAAGGTATAAAACATATATTCAACTCAGTGCTTTATAATATGGAGAATAAATGTACATTAAAGAGGTGCAAAGTACAATGAGCATTCAGAGACAAGTGGGGCCATTTCTGGGTAGATGAATCAGGGAAGGCTCCCTCAAAGAAGTGGCGTTTGCCAGAAAAACAGGTGTCCATTGAAAGGAGAAAGGTCATAAATACTATGTACAGCATAGTCAACTCTCAATTCTATGGTCACCATAGGAACTTGGGTACATCTACACCAAACTATAAATAATCCAAAAGCAAATAACACAATTTTAACAACACATTATAAAACCCCTGCCATCTGTGAATTCAGTTTTACTGTGGAATCATGTGCTTTCATACAGCTAGGAAGGCAAAGGTAAACAACTACCCAGGGCAGAACACACCAGGAGGATGCACAATGAGGGTTTTTTTTAAATATACATAATTCAGTGTCAGAAAATTGAAATCCCCACGGCCAAATAATTCCTTGCCAATTCAATTAAATTTGACAAACATTTATTAAGTGCCTCCTGTGTTACGGGCTCTGTGCTTGGTTCTCTGTATACAAAGACAAAGAACTCAGTAGTCTCTACCTTCAAGGAGCTTACATTCTCCTGGGAAGATCCAACATATATGTGAAATATACTCAAAATAATACAAGTAATTTGAAGAGAAGAGGACTAACAACTAACCAAGACAAACTACCCTCCTTGTTACCTTGTGTCCCTTTTCCCTCTCTCTCTCTCCCGGAAGCTTTTTCCCATTTTTCATTACTCCTTCTCTCTTATCTTCAGTGTCTCCCTAGCTAGTGGATCCTTCCTACAAATATGCTCAGGCCTCCCTCCATCCTTAAAAAAAAAAAAATCATTTGACCATGCCATTTTCCTAAGCCATATTTTAAATCTCTCTTCCTTTTTCTTTTCTTTTTTAAAAATTTTATTTATTTTTAGTTTTCAACATTCACTTCCATAAGATTTTCAGTTCCAAATTTTCTCCCCATCTCTCCCCTTCCCCCACCCCAAGATGGCATGTAATTTGATATAGGCTCAACATACACATTCATATTAAACCTATTTTCACCTTAGTCATGTTGTAAAGAAGAATTAAAACCAATGTCTCCTCTTTTTTCATTGGCATATTTCTAGATCTAGGAAAGTTTAGAGGTTTAGCAGAATGTTAAATAAATTCACTTGAAGACATGTTGATTTTGAGGTCTTAACTGTAGAATTTATCATCATTCACTCCAGACTTCCAGACTTCCCTATTTCAATTGAGGGCACCACTATTTTCCAGCTCACCTAAGTTGATAATTTCTGAGTCATCCTTGACTCTTCCCTCTCTCTCATATCGTTTGAGTGAATCAGTTGCCAAATCCGATTGATTCTGCCTCAACATCTCTTACCCTTACCTTTTTTTTAATAATAATTTCATTTATTTCTTTTTAAGTTATGATTTTACTTTTTCATTTTTTCTTTTTTTAATTTAAACTTAAGATTTATTTTTAGTTTTCAACATTCACTTCCACAAGATTTTGAGTTCCAAATTTTCTTCCCATCTCATCCCTCCCCCCATCCCAAGATGGCATGCATTCTGTATACCCCTTCCCCTAATCTGCCCTCCCTTCTATCTCTCCCCCTCTTCTCTTATCCCCTTCTCCTTCTATTTTCCTGTAGGGCAGAATAGATTTCCATACCCCATTTCCTGTATTTCTTATTTC